GGTCAGTGGGGTTGAGGCCAGCAAAGCTGGGGCAGGATTGCTGATGGGTCTGCAGGGCGGGGATAGCCTCTCACTTTTATTGACTCCCTCACCGTCGCAGGTGGAAGCCACAACTGCAGGAGCTGCTGAAGCTGCCCGCCTTCATGCGGGTAACATCTACCGGCAACATGCTGAGCCACGTGGGCCACACGATTCTGGGCATGAACACGGTACAGCTGTACATGAAGGTCCCCGGCAGCCGAACGCCAGGTGCAGAATGCGCGCTGGGGGCGGGGCTGGTGTCGGTGCTGCTTTCAGCCAATGAGGGCCAAAGGGTGGCCTTGGGAAGGAGCTCAGCTCGGCTAGGCCAGCCATGGCGTTCTCTATTGCCCCCTGCAGGCCACCAAGAGAACAACAACTTCTGCTCTGTCAACATCAACATAGGCCCAGGCGACTGTGAGTGGTTCGCGGTGCATGAACACTACTGGGAGACCATCAGCGCTTTCTGCGACCGGTGCGCCACCGCCCCCCCCCAAACATACACACACTAGGCCCGCCCCCATGTCCCATCTCTGAGTCCCCAGGTTTCCATCTGACCCTGTGGCCACCCCACAGGCACGGTGTGGACTACCTGACAGGTTCCTGGTGGCCAATCCTGGACGATCTCTATGCTTCCAATATCCCTGTGTACCGCTTCGTGCAGCGCCCTGGAGACCTCGTGTGGATTAATGCGGGGACCGTGCACTGGGTGCAGGCCACCGGCTGGTGCAACAACATCGCCTGGAACGTTGGGCCCCTCACCGGTGAGAGGGTGGGGTGCAGAGACAGTGGTGAGAGGGTTGGCGGGGGAGTGGAGGGCAGCCAGCCGTGAGGGAAGGGGCTGGGGTCCAAGTAGCTGGGAGTTGTTTGAGAATCCTGTAGTGACTGCTTCTGGCCCACAGCCTATCAATACCAGCTGGCCCTGGAACGGTATGAGTGGAACGAGGTGAAGAACGTCAAGTCCATTGTGCCCATGATTCACGTGTCCTGGAACGTGGCTCGCACCGTCAAAATCAGCGACCCCGATTTGTTCAAGATGATCAAGTGAGGGTCCTGTTTGAGAGGGAGCCCATTTCCACCAGACCTGGTCCCACGCTTGTTCTGCCTGTAGAATGCAACCCCATTCTCCGTCTTTCTCTCCACCCTTTACTCCTGCGCCCTGCAGTGTTCCAGTGCTGGAGCAGGTGACCAGGTTCCTGCTCCAAGGAATTTTACTTGACAGTGGCCCAAATAGATAAAAACGCACATGAAATGTTAACGGGGCCTAGTAACTGGGGGCTACTGTCCCGCCTTGCCAGCCGCCCTACCTTACCGCCACTCGCCTCCCCCACGCCCAGGTTCTGCCTCCTGCAGTCCATGAAGCACTGCCAGGTGCAGCGGGAGAGCCTAGTGCGGGCAGGGAAGAAAATCGCCTACCAGGGCCGGGTTAAGGACGAGCCTGCTTACTACTGCAACGAATGCGACGTGAGTGGGCCCGCTTCCCTCCTTCCCGGGAGAAAGGAGCCCCCGGGCGTTCCTCCCGGTGACCGCCCGCCTCTCTGTCCCAGGTGGAGGTGTTCAACATCCTGTTCGGACGAGTGAGAACGGCAGCCGGCAACACTTAACTTGGTGCACTGCGAGGCCTGCGCCCGG